CTGAGGTGAAATGATGCCCTGAGCCCAGCAGGTTGAGGCTGCGGTGGCCCTGAGCATGTCACTGCACTCTAGTCAGGCAGCAGAGTGAGACTCCAACTCAAAAGAAAAACAATCCCCTCCCCCCGCAAAAAAAAAAAAACCCAGCATGGTGCTGGTACAAGAGCAGATACATGGACCAATGGAATAGAATAGAGAATCCAGAAATAAATCCAAATACCTATAACCAACTAATCTTCAACAAAGCAGACAAAAGTATACACTGGGAAAACGACACCCTATTTAACAAATGGGAACATTAGATACCTACGTGCAGAAAAAAGAAATTCAATCCCCATCTCTCATCATATACAAAAATTTGCTCAAGGTGGATTTAAGATTTAGATGTCAGACCTGACACCAGAAAGTCCTAGATGAAAACATAGGAAAAACTTTCTGGACATTGGCTGAGACAAAAAAAAATTATGTCTAAGGCCCCAAAAGCAAATGTAACAAAAATAAAAATAAATAAGTGGAACTTAATTAAGCTAAAAAGCTTCTGCACAGCAAAAACAAATAATCAACAGAGTAAATATACATCCTACAGAATGGGAAAAGATATTCACAAACTGTACATCTGACAAAGGACTAATATCCAGAATCCACAATGGACTCAAACAAATCAGCAAGAAAAAACCAAATAACCCCATCAAAAAGGGGGCAAATGGCATGAACAGACATCTCTCAAAAGAAGATATACAAGCCGGGCTCGGTGGCTCAGCCTGTAATCTCGCGCCTTTGGGAGGCTGAGGTGAGTGGATTGCCTGAGCCCGCGGGTTCAAGACCCGCCTGGGCAGCGAGACCTCTTCTCTACAATAAATCAAAAAATCAGCCGGGCATGGTAGCGCATGCCTGTAATTCTGGCTACTTGGAAGGCTGAGGTGGAAGGATCACCGGAGCCCAGCAGGTCGAAGCTGCAGTGGCCGGGAGCGGCCACTACACTCCAGTCTGGGCGACAGAGTGAGACTCCACCTCAAAAAAAAAAAAAAATTCAAAATAAAGCCTTCAATAAAAATCGAAAAACAATTGTTCTGCTTTTACTTTGAAAAATTTTTAAAAATGAGTTCAGTCCATTGTACAGTATGGTGTTTATACTCAATAATAATGTATTGTATGCTTGAAAATAGCTTGGAGAATAAATTTTGAGTGTTCTCACCACAAAAAAAAAAGTATGAGAGGTAATGCACGTTAATTAGCTTGACTTACCCAGTACGCATATATCCAAATATTATGTTGTATACCATAAGTATATACAATTTTATTTTCATTTAAAATAAGTAAATTACAAAAAGCGAGATTGAAAAAAAAATAAGCTTTGCTTTTTGCAAGACACCATAAGGGAACTGAAAAGGCAAACCACAGACATGGAGACACAAATTATATACCTGATAAAAGACTGGAACACATAACTCCTACAGCTCAATAATAAAGAAGGCAATGCAAAAAAAAAAACCTCAAAGAACTTGAACCAATACCTAATGTAAAGAAACATACAAATAAATGGCCAGTAAACACATAATAAGATGTACAACATCAAGAAAATGCAAATCAAATCTATAATGCAATGCACTATGTGTCTACCAGAATGGTTACAAACTTAAACATTTCAAGTGTTGCTGATGATATAAAAAATTGAAACTCTCAATTATTGCTTTTAGTAATGGAAAAATAGCACGCCACTTCAGAAAATAATTTGGCAACTTTTTCAAAAGTCAAACACACCCTATATCCTGGCCCAACAGTTTCACTCCCAGGTTTTACCCAAGAGAGATGAGAGTATACGATCATAAAATGACTTACATTCAGATACTCATGGCAAATTTATTCATAGTGGTAAAGAAACAACTGAAATATTCAACAGTAAGTACATAGGCAAATAAATTGTGGTATATCTGCATCATAGAATATTAATCAGGAATAAAAAGTAATTAACTTCTTTTACATAGAACAATGTGACTGAATTTTAAAAGCATTTTACTAAGTGAAAGATGCTAAAAACAGAAAAAGAGTGCATACAATATGACTCTAACTCTATAGAACCTAGAAAAGACAAATCTAATCCACAGCGATAGAAAGTAGAACAACATGAACAGACACTTCACAAAAGAAGACATTCGAGCAGCCAACAAACACATGAAGAAATGCTCAACCTCACTAATCATCAGGGAGATGCAAATCAAAACCACACTGAGATACCACCTAACTCCAGTCAGAATGGCAATTATCAACAACTCAAAAAATAACAGCTGCTGGAGAGGGTGTGGTGAAAAGGGAACACTTCTACACTGTTGGTGGGAGTGTAAACTAGTGCAACCTCTGTGGAAAGCAGTGTGGCGATTCCTTAAAGCTCTAAAAATTGACCTTCCATATGACCCTGCAATCCCCCTACTGGGAATATACCCTGAAGAACACAAATCACTCTATAAAAAAGATACCTGCACACTTATGTTTATCGCAGCATTGTTCACAATAGCAAGAACCTGGAAACAACCATGCTGCCCATCAAAAGAGGACTGGATTAAAAAATGTGGTACATATACACGATGGAATACTACGCAGCCATAAAAAAGAACAAAATCATGAATTTCGCTGCAACCTGGATGGAACTAGAGTCTATAATACTGAGTGACCTCTCACAAAAACAAAAATCCGAATATCACATGTTCTCACTCATATAATGGACCTTGAACATCCAATGCAATACTATGAGAAAATGACTGATGGTACTGGGAAACTATGAGGGGGAGTGGGATGGGATTAACAGTAGCAAATATCTGTCGGGGGATGGGAAAACACTTCTTATCTACAGGGTGCCTGAATGAAACGTCATTGTACACCTAACCCTTAACTGTACCCCACAAAACCATAATAAAAAATACTGATTAATGAAAAAAAAAAAAAAAGAAAGTAGAACAGTGGTTGCCAAGGGCCCAGAGGTAGACATTGGGAGTGGGGAGAAGTTGATTAGAAAGAAGTATAGTTGTCCCTTGGTTTCTACAACAAATTGATTCTGGGTCTCATGCAGATATGAAATTCCATGATGTCCAAGTCCCTTATATAAAATGGCATAGTACTTGCATATAACCTATATACGTTCTCCAGTATACTTGAAATAATCTCTAAATTACTTATAATACCTAATACAATGTAGGTACTAGGTAAATTCTTTTTATATCATATTGTTTAGGGAATAATGACAAGAAAAAAAGTCCATACATTTCAGAACAGACACAATCATCATATTCTTAACAACATTTTTGGTCTACAGTTCGCTAAATTTCAAAGGCTGACTATATAAGGGAAATTTTAGGAGCTATAAAAATATTCTATGTCTTGATAGTGGGAGTGGCTATACAACTGTGTACACTTGTCAAACTGTATTTTTTAAATGGATACGTTTTATTTACATAAGTTATAACTCTTTTGATTAAAAGACAGTTATTTTACTTCTAAAAATCTATCCTACAGAAATAATCTGAAATGGAAGCAAAGGTTAATATTCAAGGATGTTATTTATAACAATGAAGACTGAAAACATCCTGTATAAAGAGTAATTATAGAGAGAAGATATGGTATAATCCTTTCAACAGAATATGATGATCATAATGGTGCTTATAAGGAGTATATAATAATATTCACACATGTTTGTGTCATTATGTTAAGTGAAAATAAATAGAATTTACAAATTAAATATGCAATATGTTTTAGTTATGTAAAAAAATCAATCATTTTCTTAGTATAAAAGACAAAGTAATTATAATAAAAATATTTTATAACTTTCTATTTTAAAATGTTTAATAAAGAATATTTTATCCTTTAATAAGAATATGTTATTTTTATAATAAAGAAAACTAAAAAAGGAAAAATCTTCAGAAGCATTAGTAGTGAAAAATAAGCTAAATTTCATAAAATGTGGCATGTTGCAAGATTAGAATGCTCTGGTCCAAGGTAATAAGTATTGAAAAGTGAGAGTCAGTTGGTAAAAGTGTGTGAGTATTTCTTTAGAAATGCCTGCAGAGGAGGGTATTCTGATTATAAGTGACAAATCCCACTTTTCTAAGGAAGAACTAATATGTTCTACTTTGGAAAAATAAAGCATACAAAGAAATATTTTTTTGATATAAGTATCTTCTTAACAATACTTAATTTCCAACTTATGAGCCACCAAAATTTTTTTAACCTCTACTTTATCTCCTGAGTAGGACTATTTATGAGGAAAAGGATGGCTGGTATGCAGAGTCATGTTTGTGTCCTGTTGGGAATAAATTAACTATCAGTCTGATATTTGTACCCACATTTAAAAAAAATATCAGAGTGTGACAGTCATACACAAATAGATCAACCTTGGCTGAATCCATAACATGAGGCTCCAGAATATACAAAGTTGGGGACCATACCTGGTCTACCATAATTATGTTATATATGAGCAAGCAAAAGTTGCAAAGTTCTCCAAACGCCATTGCCTTATTAATGTAGCAGAAGCAGAGATAGATTTTCAGTTTCTGCTAATTATATGATAAGCTTCTCCACACCTCTCACTTTTTTCTGGAGATACAAAGAAAAGACTAGATTTTCAGACTCTTTTTTTTTTTTTTTTTTTGAGTTGGAGTCTCACTCTGTTGCCCAGATTGGAGTGCAGTGGCCGTTCCCGGTCACTGCAGCCTCAACCTGCTGGGTTCCAGCGATCCTTTCACCTCAGCCTTCCGAGTAGCCGGAATTACAGGCGTGTGCTACCACGCCTGGTTGATTTTTTTTATTTATTGTAGAGATGAGGTCTCACCAAGTTGCCCAGGCAGGTCTCGAACCCGCGGGCTCAGGCAATCCACTCACCTCAGCTTCCCAAAGGCGTGGGATTCTTTTCAGACTCTTGAGTAAATTGATGATTTTCTATAGTATGTTATGATTCTCTATAGGATTTTTTTTTTCTGAATGATGTACAGGAACCCTGGAAAGTTTGTACTCACTGATGCTTTGTCCATCATCCCAGAACATCTGACCTTCAGCTTCTCCGTTGTCATCCAAAGCAACAGTCAACCCCATAAAGTTTTGTCGACTACCGAAAAAATGAATTATTTTTCTTTAGATTGTAGGTTGTAAGAATGAAGAATAGCTTCTGCTGAAGATATTACTTATCCAGAAATAAAAATAATTTATTAAATATGCATATTAAGTTCTAAAAATAGGTAAAAGAATAAGACAATAATGAAAAAACACTTAAAATGAAATAAAACATTTGATTTAATTTCAACTTTTAAGAATCAAATATACAAACTTTACATGTATATATATTACAAGTAATATGATAAAATATAAATTATTTAGGAAGAATCCACCTTTCAAAAAAAAAAATTCCTCAGTAGCTTTCTGATTGCTACAGAATAAAATCCAAAGTACTTAGCTTGGCATTCACAACTTTCCATGATCTGATTTCAACCTGCTCTAATTTTATTTATTTTATCCTCCCTTATCTATTCTCCAGTTAAACCGGATGGTTTACTATTCCCCAGACCCAATTCATTTTTCCTACTGGAATCTCTTTCTCCTTCTTAATACAGTAGAATCCTATTCATTATACAAGACTCACTCAAAGCCCTCTTTCATATGAAACCATGCCTCACAACACAAGACTGAAAGTTAACTATTGAACTATTTTTGTTGTTTTTAAGTGCCTCTCTTGGCATAGCATGTGCTAAGCAAAGATTATATATACGTGCATACACACACAAAATTTACATATGTATGCGTGTGTGTGTGTGTGTGTGTGTGTGTGTGTGTGTGAAATCTCTCCTTGGATTGATCATAGCAGTAAAATCTGTCTGCAGTTTTAATTATTTACTAGCGTAGCCCTGGTAAAGTTGGGACATCCACCTGTATGGCCGCCTCATTATGGCATAGCAAGGTTACTAACTATAGCTTCTTGTCCTTACCTGAAGTGAGTGTTCATTGCAGGCTCTTGCCAAGGCAAGATGTAGCCTCCTCTTACATGAAGGTTGATGTGGTCAAGGGGAGCCTCCAAGCGTTTCCACTCACCTGTGGAATTTTTGCCAGATTCCTAGAAGGAAAAATATAGACAAAGAATAAGGAGAGAGAAATATATTAAATGAGACTGTGTTATTACAAATCCTTCCTTTTCAAGAAAGCATGTTGGAAAGTCAGCAAAACATTGCAAACCTGAAGAGAAAGTCTAATCTTTCAATTGCTCAAGACTCAAATAATCTAGTCTTTTTGGAGAGGTGGAGAGACAAGCTTCAATGTGATATGGGTGCTCAGTTTTTAATCTTTGCTTTTGTGCATATGTTCACTTAAACAAAACCTTGCCAAGGTTAAAAAAAAAGAGGGAAATAATTGCCTTAGAAAATATGTGGCTGAAAATCTGGAGAAAGCTCTGTGCACTTCTCTAGCTTGCATGAGATAATCTGGTTCTTCACAAATGTTAGTTCTTACCGTGTTGTAGTTGTACCAACGGGCTCTGGGAAAATAAGCTTCGATCTCAAAAGTGTTCTGAAACGTAACATTCACATGTCATTATGAATATTTCAATAAGGAAATAATTTAATTTTAATTGTTTAAACACTTTATGAAGCCAGGCTCGGTGACTCAGCCTGTAATCCTGCGCTTTGGGAGGCCGAGGTGAATGGATTGCCTGAGCCCGCGGATCAAGACCCACCTGGGCAACTTGGAGAGACCTCATCTCTACAATAAATCAAAAAATTAGCCAGACATGGTAGCACGTGCCTGTAGTTCTGGCTACTGGAAGGCAGAGGCGGAAGGATTGCCGGAGCCCAGAGGGTCGAGGCTGCGGTAGCCAGGAGCAGCCACTGCACTCCAGTCTGGTGACAGAGTAAGACTCCAACTCAAAAAAAAAAAAAACCACTTTATGAAAAATTAAGATAAAAATGGGAATTTTATTCGCTATTTCAAAAATTTAAGAGATTTTATGAAGAAAGATCCTGAAATTTTTTTGCTCAAGCACAGATAAAAATCAGTTGTTAAAAATGTGAATTTTTAGGAGTCCTCCAGCAAGATGGCAATGGGGCAGCTTGGTCTGTGAGACCCTCTGTGAAAGAGAACACATAAAGACTCTAGCTCTCTCCCGGGGGCTGCAGTTCCCATCGTCAGCAGCCTGCTCTTCACACAGAGCTCAGCCATCACCACCGCTTAAATATCACGGCAGTCTGGGTGGCCACTGCAGCTGCAGAGGCCACCGCTGCCGCTGCTGCTGCTGCCACAACTGCCACCACCATTGCACCACCCATGCCTGAAGTGACCCACAACTTCAGACCGTGAAGTGCCTGCAAGCAAGATCTACTGAGATCACTGCTGCTTCCACTGCCACTGTCATGCCCTGCCTCTTGCCCAGAGCCACGCTCATGGAGCTCCTCCCGTGTACCATGAGGCGGCTGCTGCCATCGTGGCCCCCATTGCCAACTTCCTCTTGTCTGGGGCAAACAGCTGAAGATAAAGATCATATGGAGTGGTGAGATAGCACCCCCTGCTGGCGATTCAAGGTAACAACACTGAAATGGGAAAAAACAGAAGCTTGATAAATGGACACAGGCCAGATCTGAGTGGTAAACTGGGCAGGGAGCCCAGATCTGAACTGCCTTTCACAGCAGGTCAGGGGCAACTGACCCTAACTGTGAACAAATTTACCAGCTTGCAAAGACAGCTAGAAATCAGAGTTGAAAGGACATTGGACAAACGAAAAGTCTCAGAGTGTGCTTGATTGGTTCTATTAGTTTACTGACTTGATTCTATTCCTTTTTTTTCTCTCTCTCTTTCTGTAAACCCCATCTTTGTATGGAGGAATAGCACACCAATAAGGTGGTTGGTTAGCTTGTACGTTAGCATCATTGCATGTTTTAATTTTTTCATATAGGAGTTGGTTAGTTTGTAGCCGTGGTTTAGTGTTTTTATCTGTTTCAGTTTTTGTGTCTTTCTCCATTTGTTGGTACACTCATCTGTTTTCCCCCTTACTCCTCTCTCTCTCTCTACCCTACTCTTCCCCCAACTGCCTGCTCCATTCTCTTCCCTTTGTTAACCTCATTTTGCTTTCAGGGAGTAAACCTACAATCCCACTGCATGGACAGAATCCAAGACAGTGGGAAGTGGGTTTCAGATTATCCATACACTTGTCAATAGATACCAGGATCTGCAGATAGATTTTGAATCTCAGCTCCCCCTTAAGTAAATCTCAAAACTGCAAAAACGATCACCTCCAACCTACAGTCTAACTCCAGAATTGTACAAAGTAAGAAGATATACATAAATAAGATTAGGAGATTGAACAAACAGAAGTAAAAGCAACCCCTCCACCCCTGAATAATAGAATTAAAGAAGATGGGGAAGTGGAGGAAAGGAAAAACTAGGGAGGAAAAATCTGTACAAATGAAGAAAAACCAAAAGAAGAATATAGGTCTCACACAGACCCCTGGGAGGTCAGACACTGAGAAAACAGACTTCAGAACACAAACAATGAAGAGCCCCCAGAATGACTGGTCACATGCAGCAAACACAGACATCAAGACATTAATAGAGAGAATAAAAAAATTGAGGAGAGACAAGAGGAAAATAGGAAGGAGTTGATGACAGAAATAACAGTAAAGAATACTGTGATGGAAATAAATAACAAACTGATAAGCATGAAAAGCAAAATTAGCCAAGCAGAAGAAAGAATCTCCGACCTTGAAGACCAAAGCAAAGAACTAACCCAAACTGTCAAATATATAGAAAAGAAACTTAAAAAGACAGAACAAAATCTTCAAGAGATGAATGATTACTTCAAGAGAAAAAAACCTAAGATTAATTGGCCTTCCTGAGGCAGAGAGAGAAAAAGAGGTCACACTGGAACAAACATTTCATGAAATCATTCAAGAAAACTTCCCTTATCTCATTAGTGATGCAAAATTCAAACACAAGAGATTCAGAGAACCCCTGCAAGAAAACAAATGAGGAGACCAACTCCCAGACACATAATAATTCACCTAAACAAAGTAGGTATAAAAGAAAAAATCCTAAAGGCAGCAAGAGAAAAAGGTCAGACTACCTACCAGGGAAGACCAATTTGAGTAGCAGCAGATTTATCTACAGAAAACCTGCAGGCCAGGAGAGCCTGGAGCCCTACCTTCAGAGTTCTAAAAGACAAACAATTTCAACCAAGAATAACCTACCCAGCCAAGCTAAGCTTCATCAGTGAGGGAGAACTGAAATCTTTCTCAGATATCCAATCCCTAAGAACCTACGCTGCCACCAGACCACCTCTACAAGAAACACTTAAGAAAGTATTGAACACAGAAGAAAAGGAAAAAAGAACAACAACCTTCTTGACAAGAGTACAGGGAAAAGACTAAAAACACACATGAACCAACTCCAAAACCAAAAGATAGATAACAAACAAAGAGAAACAACAACAACAACTCTATAAGAACCTTATGATAGGGACCAACTCTCACATTTCAGTAAGTAGCCTGAATGTGAATGAACTAAATGCACCACTGAAAAGACATAGAATGCAAAAATGGATAAAATATCACCAGACAAAAATTTATTGCCTTCAAGAGACTCACCTCACTAGAAAGGACACTCACAGACTCAAAGTACGAGGATAGGAAACAAATTTTCAGGCGAACGGAACACAAAAGAAAGGAGGAGTCGCAATCTTAATCTCAGACAAAATACTCTTTAAGCTATCAAAAATTTAAAAAGATACAGAAGGCCACTACATAATGATAAAAGGTTCAATCCATCCACAAGACATATCCATCCTAAACATATACGTACCCAACATAGGAGTGCCAACTTTCATAAAGCAGCTTCTAGGTAAACTAAAAAAAGATATCAACTCTAACAACATCATAGCAGGGGACTTCAATACCCCACTCACAACCCTAGACAGATCATCAGGACAAAAAATCAGCAACGAGATCTGAAACCTCAATCTAACTGTTGACCAAATGGACTTAATTGATACCTACAGAACACTCCATCCAAAGACCACAGAATATACATTCTACTCATCACCACACAGAATGTACTCTAAGATCGACCACATACTTGGCCATAAATCAAGTATAAGCAAATTTAAAAGGACTGAAATTTTACCATGCACTTTCTCAGACACAGTGGAATAAAAATAAACATTAGCACTAACAAGGTTCCCCCAAAACTCACAAAGACAGGGACAATAAATAGCATGACGCTAAACAACTCCTGGGTCAATGATGAAATCAAAACAGAGATCAAAAGATACCTGGAAACAAATGAAAATGAAGAAACATCTTACCAAAATGTCTGGGACACCTTGAAAGCTGTAGTAAGAGGGGAACTCATATCTCTACAAACGCACATGAAGAAAATGAAAGGATCAAAAATGAACAAATTAACAAGTCACCTAAGGATGCTGGAAAAGCAATACCACCAAAATCCTAACTTCAGCAGAAGAATCCAGATCATGAAAATAAAAGCCCAAATCTGGGACATAGAAGACAAAAAGATAATACAAAAAATCAATGAAACAAAAAGCTGGTTCTTTGAAAGGATAAACAAGATCGATGGTCCCCTAGCTAGACTGACCCAGAAAAAGAGAGAAAAAGTCCAAATAAACACAATCAGAAACACAAAAGATGAAGTCACAACTGACCCTGAAGAAATACAAAAGATTGTCAC